CAGGATAGCCCACCTCGCCACCAGTGTCCTCCACCGATGCTTAGGCAAATTGTGGGCAGGGTGTCCCCTCCCAGCTCCTCCGGCCCCGTGGTCCCTCCAAGAAGCAGTGTGGGGCACTGAGCTTTCCCCCTCTCCGTGTTGCCCCCACTAGGGCTTCTGGGCCCCGCCATGGCTTTTTTCCATCCAGGCTGGGGAGATGCAGGGACTGTACAAGGCAGCTGACTTGTGGGAGGCAGAGAAATGAGGGGAGCGCCAAACATGGGGTGGCCCGATTCCATCAAGGAGGTCGTAGCCGTGGATTTGGAGGAGCTGAGCAGGGCTGCGAAGGACGTTCATTCACAGGGTCAGCGGCAAGATGACCAGGCCTTGAGGCATTCTGAGAAAATGAAAAGGTGGTGCTTGTCTGCCAGGGATTTGCTCAGAAGCGCGTCCCTCCATGCAGAAAAAAGAGTAAGGTCAGCTTGGCGCCTAAGGAGCGGTGGCTTGTTGTGTTGTGCAAACCTCGTCATAGTCTCTTCAGGCTATGTTGGTGAGCAGTCAGGGATGGGTGTCTTGTCACTGGTCCTGTCTACTATGTCAGCCATTTTGTGACAGCACCCACAACACCCTCAAAATTCCAGATGTGACCACAGCACCCAGAAGGTTGGGAACACCTGATCTGTCCCAGCATTTGCTTTCTAGCTATGGCCTGGGAACACCTTTGACCTAACCTCACTGCACTGGCACCCAAACTACAACAAGGATGCCACAACTGGTAAAGGCACTGGGAGTGCCTTCACAGGCATGGAAGGACAACTCAAACTCCTTTTTGGCTTCTGCAGAGGGATGATATTGCTTGCAAACAGGGTGCGTGGTGCTTGGTCAGGGGCCTGGCTTCAGCTGGCCCACACAAAGAAATGTGCATTCAGAACGTACATGGCTTGTGGCCACAATACCTGATCGAACACCTTTCTTGGCCTCAATCTACCAGAGCCTACAATCTGGGCCTTCCTCCAACAAGGATAGCCCTGAAAAAGGCATCAAGGAGGAGGCCTTTTCCAGTGGTGCCCCCCAGTTGTGGAACCCTCTCCCCACTGAAGCACACCTGGTGCCCACACGGTCATCTTTTCAGCCTCAGGTTAGAATTGCCCTCTAGGCATTTCATGGCATACATTGGCTTACATCAGCCACTTTAATTAAGTCTAGTTTTAGATGCATAACCTGTTCTATATTTCTGTATGGTGGAATTCTGAACTATTTTCATTCAGCACACTGGGATATTATGCTGCGTGTTACTGCATTTTTGCTGTACCTTTTTTGCAGTCTGAGTAATTGATATGAACTGCTTTCCCAGCCAATCCAATGGTACTTGTGCGAGAGCCATGGCACAGATGTTGGTTGTGTCTCTGAGCGTACAGCTTCACCACCATAGCTGTGACCAGGCTGCAGGCAGAAGTGCAGTTCGTATTTCTGAGGCGAAGAGAGTTTGATCTCTCCGTGGGAGCTGGCAGCCCTCGTGCCGAGTTTGTGTCAGCAGCCATTCTAAACCACTTCCAAAGGGATTAGCCCAAATACTCCACCAGGGTAATTTAGATGTCAACACAGCTAACTACTTCTTTCATCATGCAGTGAGGAAAAGCAAGGATAACCAGCCAGATTTGATTTATAACTATTTGCATAAACAGGTGAAACATCACGCATATAATGCTTGTTTGTAGCATCAGTGTCACCAGACACAGGTAACATGCATGGCACCAGAGGATCCATACATTGTCGAGGTATGCATCCTACAATTCTAAGGGTGGGAGCATCATTGGAACACATGCTTGGTATGCTGAAGGGTCCAGATTTTAAATCCCAGCATCTCCCACCAAAATAAGTCAGGGAGTAGAACTGGCAAGACTCTTCATTCCCAGTCACAGCCCAACACCAGGTTGGATAATGATGCTCTGCAGGGTCAACCCAATCATGGAGGGGCTGCCCAAAGAGACATCAGCAAATAGATGCGAATTAGCAGTGCGAGAGCTTGATTTGCAAGGAGAGCAAAATCGATAGTGCAGAGACATTGCAGAGACAGAAAGAAGATGCTGAATACTTCTCCTTCAGCCCCTGGCGGCTGGTGAGGTGGAAGGCAAACTTGGAGCAAGGAGGCACAGAAGGCTAAGGACTTGATGGTCTCCCTGACCCCCGTAACTCCACCCTTCGAGTCTGTGCTATCTAACTCCACCAGGCACAAGCTGCTGCATCGCTTCCCCGAGCCAAGTCTTCACCTGCACATCCCCATCACTTCCCCCCTCGCTCCCTGGCTCCTTTCCCTGCCAGGCAGAGTCCTGCGAGAGTTTGCTGCTCCAGAATGAGAAGTGGGAGAGGAGAGAAGGCCGTGGAAAAGATGCAGGGAGCAGCAGGATTCAGCTCCCCTTTCTGCCTGGCGCTTCCCCACTGCAAATTTCACACCCTCTTATCGCTCACCGCTGAGCCACTGTGGCTGAGGTTCCGCGAGGTGCGCCGTGCCCTTTCCCATAATGGATGCACTATGCAAATCATGCTAATGCTGCAAATGCACTTAGGATGTAATCCTGTGGGGATGCCAGGAAACCTCCCATGCCGAGGAGACGGAGAGGTGAAGCTGAGAGTCCGTGACTGGAGCAAAGTCACCCGGTGAGCTTCATGGAAGCGCAGGAACGAAGCACTGGATCTCCTGACTCCCACTCCAGAACTCTAGCTGCTATACCACGCTGTCCCAATATTCTTGTCCAGGAGTCACCCAAGGCAATGGATGAGCTTCCCTGGACTTGGCTCCCCAGACTGCAGCCCACCTCCCCATGACTCTGAGCCCAATTTCCTGGTGAGTGTACCCCGTCTCGATGGAGCACTTGCCAGAAATGGAACCCCAGGCAACCATTGCCTAAGTAGTCATCCCTCGTCTGCAAGTGCGATTGGACGACCTTCCCAGGTAGAAATGCTGGACTATAATTACCGCCCTCTGTGGGCTACATTGCCAGGGATTATGGAAGGAATAAAGCAAAACATCTGGAGAAACTTGGGTTCAAGGAAGCCTTCAATAGAGAGACTAGAATTCCCTGTGAAGAGGCTTTTTTGAAGTGGGGAGCCAGCAATCCAAGATGGCAAGAGATCTCTGTTTCCCTGCTTCTCAGTGGGGATGCTCAGTTCTGGGAACAAAGACTTTGAAAAGAGAGGAACAAATCTGTAGGCGCCGTGAATCTGAAAACTGGGTTGCGGATGGAGTTGCTATGCCAGGCGCAGCTCTAAGAACTGCTGCTATAAAAAATTCATGCCCCTTTCCACCAAGATTTTTATATTTTATCAGTTAAGGACCTACTTACATGCACTGAACATCTCTGAAGTGCATTGTCTTTGAAAACCTTCAATGTGTGTAGAATCAGCTTGACTTTCTCACGCAAGAAAACTTTCTTCTCTTTTTGTGGAACCAACAGGAACCACCACACATCCCTGGTGGTCTCAGGAGGGTTCTAATGATATTTCCAGCTGGGGTTTCAGATGCTGTCTCTTTCTGAGATAACTTCCCATGAAGTTGGGCAACCCAAGTACAAATTCTGAATCCACCTGGTCCAGTCTCAGGTCAACATCGAACAAGATGGCTAACTGCTCAGACTTGTTATGATGGGAGATGGATTACGCAGCGGATTTCTTGCCGGGCGGCCAGCAACAGGGGACGCCTGGGGAGGGGGTGGTGTCACTGTTGGCTCTCAGAGCTTCTCTGCTGCAGTTCCTCTTCCACTGGGTCCCTTTGGCCCAAGAGGAGCATGCCAGAAAATGTGAGGAAGGAACCACAGCTGCCACCGTCTGCCCACTTGCTGCCCTTTCTCCCTGGGCAGCGGTATGTGGATTGGGACCACAAGGAGAGGGAAAGACAATGGAGAAAAGCAGGGGGGAAGAGAGGGTCCCACTGGGCCGTCTTACCCAATTGCCCCCAGTACCTGAAGATAATGCAAAATGCTAACCCAAAGAGGCAGAGACAGCTGGGAACATGAAAAGGACGATCACACGTCAGGTCTTAGCTGGCATTCCGAGTAAGGGGCTGAGACTGCACAAGGGACTAGCCCTGTACAAGAAGTATGATTCTGATTATGCTATTTAATATAATACCACCACCACCACAGCAGCAACTACATAATCCATCACTCGATGTTTGTTATCTTAAAAAAGCAAAAACAAGAAACAAACCCAGCGTCACATTGGAATCACAGGGGCACAACTGAACTGCGTTTTAAAATTGCTTAAGTCCTTTTTCTTTTAAGATTGTGAGCGACCTTAAGTGAAAAGCAAGGTACAAATAACTCTAACTAGTAAAAAAAAATTCTCAAATCACCCAGGAATCACTTTAAGCACACAGGCAAATGTAGCAGGCAAATACCTGCAAAGGCCCAATGGCTTGTACGACGTAGGTCTTTGCACGGGAGCAGAAATGTGCCGGCTGCAGCAAAGGCTCTCAGGTGGGGCTCAGTGGACTACAAGTCCCATGCGAGTCACCCACCGAAAGCTTTTGCTGAGCTAGTTGGACTACAGCTCCCATAGCATCGCTCCTTCACACACTAAACTACAACTATTTCCCAGCACAACTGGAGGGGAAATAGTGGGGGCAGCGGGACTCGTTTCTGTCTACATATGCTCAGGATTTGGTCTTAAATGGCCCACAGAGACCCCCAGACATTTTCAAGTGGTCCACAGAGAGCAGCTGCAGAACCAATCTAGATTCCTTTCATCATTTACCCATCCATTTGCTTTCGGTTTTTAAACAGCGTCCCAAGTTAAAATGAATAATCTTTGAAAAATCAGGGATACTGAAGTCTTTTCATGCATTTGCTTTGCAGGTAGAATATGAAAACAGTCTGAATTAAAGAGCATGCCTTCCAGGAAGGCTTATCTAAAATCCCCAGTTGTCCTTTAGTACTTCCAGACTAACAGACTACTGGAATTGTGTGCCATTCCGCTCCTCCGTCACCAGTGCAGACAAATCCCTCTTTCTGGTCCATACTTACTTTCTGGCTGGATGGTTCCCGATGTCGTAATTGTCTGCCTCTGCCGCAGTGGCAGGAGCTTGGCTCAGGATTTCCTCTCTCACAAGCTCTCTTTCCCAGGCTTCCTCAGGCAGCGAAGACAGTTGTGGGTCTGTTGGTGCCCTGTGATCTTGCACCCTTTGCTTGTGATCCTGGTGCCCCGGATACTGCGAGTGTCTTTCTGACTGTGCCAGTCCTACTGTACCGCAAAGGAGCAAAAAGACTGTTGCGATCATGGTGGACTCCTTGAAGAGCTTATGCCTGCCTGGACTTCAGAGCAAACGGTCCCCACTATCTGATTTGCACCATTCCTTCAGTTCAAACCTAGAAGGAAGAATGACACTTTTAACAAAGAGCGGAAGTTACGCCGTCAACTTTCCCAGTCGACGGTGGAAATGTCCAGAGGTCAGATGACAAAATGAAGCCAGTTCCTGCTAAAAGATCTCAGTGATGGAGACAGCTCGCTCTCTCACTCCCTCTCTCTCTCACACAGACGCAGTGTATGGGGTTTGCTCGGGGCAGTGGACTCGTGAGTTTTGACTGGCTTCTGAACCCATTACAGGGAAGAGAAGTCTTTTATCAGCTGCCTTCTTGCTGGGGTACAGGAAAGGGATGTTAGCTTTAATAAGGAGACAAGGAAAACAAAACTCTGGCTGCAGCGGAGTCCCAAGCTGGGTGTCACTAGCTTCAGGAGCCTGATACCGTCACTTTATTTACTTATTCGTTTAGGGAGCTTCTATGCCACCCCATTCACCGACGCCTCAGGGCGGCTCACAACAATAAATAACATAATAACAATATAAAAACAATATAATTGGAGACATCCTGGGATACGCTGGCACTTAAATGCTGTCCTTTAAAGGCAGAGTGGGCCATGTACTCCATCCTAAAAATACCAGAATCCTGAACCCTAGCTATCCAAATTCCACACCAAGAAAAGCTGGATTCTGCAACCCGCGTAGACAGCTCAGCTACTAGGGGAATTACGACTCTGACAAATAGGTGTGTGGGGAGGGCAGGTTTAAGGCATTCTGGGGGACAAGCCCTTTTGGAACACAATTTTTATTTTTATTTTATTTGGGTATTTCTAACCCGTCCAATTACTACACGTCTCTGGATGGCTTACAATAATCATTCAATAAATGCAGCATAGTAAAATCATCATCATCATCATCATAACCAATAATAATAACCCAAGACTGTGATAAAAATACAATTAAAATATTTAAACTTGAAAATACTGGATAAATAACAAGGTCTTGAATGGTGTCGAAAAGCATATAATGTCGGCGCCATTCCCCTAAATTCTCCTTTGGGAGATTTTAGCTCAGCCCTTGGACTCCAGGGGAACAGTTTCCCAGCTTTTCCAGAGGACAGGCTGCTGTCTGCCAGGTAGAGCTGAAGCTAAAGGAGCACATTTTTAACCCAAAGTTACGGGACCCAAGCAGAACTCACAGTGAGCGTGTGAAGAGGGAAGCACAAACAGCTGGGGACGCAGGGCTGTTTAGCCTGAAAAACTGACAAACCAGAACAGCCTGTGTCAAGGTGAGTGAAAGAGCTGCACCACTGTCCTGGTCATTGTGCCGACGCCTGCTAATTAGTGCACATACGAGGGCCATGTGGGGAGGATGCCTGAGTAGCAGTTTAGTGGAGCCAGGTTCATGGGGATGCTGTACCAGAGTCACAGGTATGAATAAGACATTCGTCACTGCCACCCCTTGGACTCTGTTGTGAAATGCCCAGAATACTTTGACTTTTGAGCAGCATAGAACTGTTGCTATTAATGTCCATATTGATTAATATTATTATCTCTGTCCCCTCTGATTTGAACCACAATCCTCATAGCAGCTTGGCAGAAATGCATCTTAGCAGCAGTAATCTATTTCCCTCACCCCACTGAAATGCAAAGTATTGGGTCTAGAAAGTGCACTTAAGACTGAGGAATGGGTGAGGCGTCTTGTTTGGGGAATCTGTCGGGTTCCTTGGTCTCGGCTTCCCATGCTCCAGTCCCAGTTCCTGGTGAGGGTGCCCAGCATTCCTGCCACACTTGGCGAGAATCAAGCTCCACGCAAGCGGAGTGCAAGCGGCATCCCATTTCCGTGCCATGTGCAGAAGAGATTGCTGATGGTGCGATGTGCAAGCTTCATCCCACAAGCATCCACGGACTTCCTCTCAGCTTGGCTTGCTAGGATAAAATAGAGAGGAGCACTGAGTAGGCTGGTCCCTTGCAAGAGGAAAAAAGACAAGCGATGGAGATAATGATGGAGTGACCATAATCAGAAGTGCTGAAAGTTCCAAAGGCATCACTCAGTTCATAGACAGAATTGGAAAAGGGGCATGGGGTGAAACTCAAGAGCTAGTGCATTAGGGTGGGTAAGAGGAGCAGAGAAGGGGCAAAGACCATGGCTGGGAAACGACAGCTCCCACGTGCAGCCCAGTGTCCTCCAAGAACTTCTTCCCCTACTCACTTCTGCAGCAGGCAAAGTCCAGGGCTCAGCAGAAGGGCAGATGCGAGGAGGACTGCCACCCCACAGAGCAGACAGTGGTCCAGCTCAGCAGAAGGCGGCTCTGCGGAGGAACCTGCCGGACACCAAAAACCCAAGACATGAACATTACATAGGATTCTCACGTCACCACGTGCAAAGCTAATCGTCCTTGTTCAGCAAATGTCGCAGCCTTAATTTAGCCTAAGTGTTAATTGGGATTTCTGAAAACAGCTGGGACTTACGGAGCTTCTTGAAGCTGAACGTAATGTTTCATGGCAAGCCGTGCTCCAGAGGTCGCCTCTTTGGAGCGATTCATGCACCTGCCTTGGCACTTTGTAGCTTCCACCAGGGACACTGGCGCAACACCAGACTGCTTTAGTTTAAAGTTCTCACTGTAAGTACCTTGGCATTCCAACCTTATGGTATGGGGAACCCTACACAAAGCTAGCATTCCCTCCTGTGGTTTGTGGTTTGGGGGAAAGGACTTGGCTGTCTGGGGACCCGCAGTGGCTTGGATTTCTCCTCCAACCCGGAGGTATTGAAGCCCAGGCCTAGATGCAACATTTCCTATTTATTGATCTGGGGGAGTCTGCTTTGGACATCACATGAATGGCAGGAATCCAAGACCGGCTTTCAGAAGTGATTTCCGGAATCACTCTTTCGCACCTATGCCCAAATGTGACACTCAAGAAACCACACTTGTGAACATGCTCGAAAACTCGAGCGGCTTTTCTGAGTTGCCAGCAAAAGTCAATCAGAGGAGAGGACATTAGCAAAGGGAAGTCCTCTTAACACTAATTGAGATCTAGTCAATAGCAATGTATCAGTTACTGAAATCCTGCTTTAATCTCGGTGTGGATCAATATTTTATTGATTCATTGTAGTGCTTATCGCAGAGGGCTCCTTTCCTAAGTCCAGAAACTATGTATGGAGCATATCACCTCTGTGAGTCAAAAAGGCAAGTTTTTCAGCAAAAGTGATGATATTGATGACCAGTGTTCAACATGAAATTTTCTCCTTTGGAAACCTTGATTTGACTGGGTTTGAATCAGTTTCCACAAATGGGAAGGTGGTGATAATAGTATTCCTGCAACATTCCTGTGATCTGGCGTGACCTCGTGTTCTAGATAATCCACTTTGTGCCAAAGTACATGTCCCAGGCGGCTGGATCTAAGTCTCTGCTGAACATCTAGGAGTCAGCTGGAGAAATTGCTGATCTGCAGGGCAGCAGTGGTGGGCTGCTTAGCCCCTGTGTTCCTCTCACGTTTCCTTCTGACCCATCTGCAGTCGTTTTTCCTGGGTGTGCGTTTCCTATGTTCGTCTTTTTGTGGAAACCAGCTTTCTTGTTTCTGCTTATATTCAGCTGCATTCTTGAAATGTTTGTCCATTTGAAACTTTGAAAAATGCTCAACTTTGCCAAAGCCCCAGGATGCAACTGTGCCTTTGAGGGAAGGACATCCCAACATCCCTTTGACACAAATCGCTGTACTGTCCCAAGGAATTTCACTCTGTGGCTGCTCTCAGTCCTCATTCTTCCTCATGTAACCCATTTCCGTTTCTTGTGTACAAACAGGGCAATCCTGTTAACCTATGGAAGATGATGCCAGCAATGGAGGTGAAAGCAACAAATACCGGAGAGCAGAAAAGAAGGGAAGTGCCTGCATACCACGTTTTGCAGACATGTTCTTGAGAGGAGAAGTAAAAGCGCCAGGTGATGTCGCTTATTCTGGATCTACTTTCTGGTTGGAACCTGTCCTGCTGCAAAAAAGCACAACACATTTTCTTAAATGGCATCACTTTGGCAGAACAACAACAACACTAATTTCATCAAATCAACATGAGCATTCAGTTCACACACACACACACACACACAGTCTAGTATTATCTAGGGTGGACATGTGTCCTCTTTTCCGCAGGTTGGTCCTCTGTTTGAAAGTATCCAATATCTGATGGACCGTGCTGTCCAATTCGAGTTGAAAGATAATGAACCCACAAAATTGCTGCCCCTCCCTGGTTATTACCTGGCTGTGAGACTGAACGGGGCAGACGGACAGGTCATCTGGTTACAGCCTCTCATACTATGAGGAGATGGTCTGTACTGCCTAAATTATACTAATGATGTCCAAATTTGTATCTATACCTAGCAATCATAGGAAATTTTAATGCAAAATTTATATTCTCTTCCCCCCTTCCTTTTAGCCCCTTCCCTTTACAATGAACATCAGGAGTTGGGTTGCATGCAACATGAAGTCGCTGGGCTGCTCCGCAGTTATCAGAGGGCTGCTTGATTCTTGCATAAACCACATTGCCTGGATTCACATGGCACAGCGAGCCTCCGTCGGGCCTTGCACATTCAAAATGGTGGCCACCACGCACTGCAATGTCCCACCGGTTAATGAACCCAGTTGGCTCAGTGTTACCTGCCAACTGACCCAAAGGGAATGTGTGGATTGGGCTTTCTACATGGGCTTGTGTGTGTGGAGGCCCTGCTTGGGCAGTTTGTCAGCCTCTGTGGGGGGAAAAGCACACGGGTCAGGCCTCTGGGTGGAACAGCCTGACACATTCTCCAAAGACAGAGGGAGTAGGCCCAACTTACCAGTAGAAGTGGAAGAGGACTACTGACTTCATATTCTAACTGGCCTGGGATACGTGCAAAGCTTGGTTCCTGCAGAAATAAGGCTTTCTGCTCACAGTGGCTCTCCTTTCGGGACTCTGCTTCCCAACTGCTTAAGGTCGAAAGAGAAAGAGGACATTGTGAGCTATCTATCCATCACTGCACCGCTCCATCCTCCGTCAACATGCTAGTCTCTTCCACCTCATCATAAAGTGGAGGGAGGGAGGTCTCCAATGCGCTTTAGCAATGAGAAAGAATTATCTGTATAAATGCGTGTGTCGTTTTTCATTTGGACTCCTGTCAAGATACAGCAAAAGATTGAATTCACCAATCTCTGCTAAGTAAAACACCTATCATGTGCATATGGCACAAGTGATTTATGGGCCATGATCCTTCATGATGCTACAGCATTTTCCCATCTCCGTAACAGTTCAGCCTCGCCGTTAATGCCTCCAGGTTGTCAGTTTTGGAGAGCTGCCAGCCAGAAATGCTGTTGTTCTGAGGACCACTTATTCATTGCAGTCCAGCGTAGTCCATCACATCTGGTGGGTGGGGGAAATGGATGGCAGCTGCTGGATGCTACCATTTCTGAAAGGGGGCACAGAGCCGGCACCAGCCGTGTCCCCTGGAGCCATGGCAACTGATGGAGTTGCCTGGCCTGATTGAGAGATGAGCGGCCTGAGGGCACATGAGCAGGTCTAGGTCAGACCAATGTCCAGGTGGGGGTCCACCTCATTGCCCCATGCAAGGGCACCACCTTGAGCTCCAAAAGCAGAGCATGTGGGACGAAATAAACATGCAGCATCTGTCCAATCGTGTTAATGTCCAGCCTCCCTGCACTGTCAGACCTCTCTCTGAAGAACAATGTGCACGCACATGTGTGTACATGTACACATGCGATCGTGAAGCAGGAATATTCCCTGCTGCAGATTTTGAAGAGCAGAGTCACTGTGGGGTAGCAGTTAAAACAGGAGTGGGCAACTTTGAGAATGCCTGGAGTCCTCTTTCCATCACGAGGACCACCCAAATATGGCCACACAGTTGTCCTGCCACTCAAATATGGCCACATAGTGGTGGCGAACCACTACAGAAGCTTAAGGCAATCGTAGCTTGTTCCTGAGCTAACTGGGGCCTTTTCAGACCTCTGCCCAAATTGGTTTGCTTTGCAGCTGCTGCACTGCTGCTGTAGAAGTAGAGAGGGCCACACCAGGGACGCTGGCAGAATGTATGCAGGCCACCTCTTGATTAACAAATGAGACCATGGCAGCCTTCTTCAGCCTGGGAGCTGGACTACAACTCCCACCACCCCCAGTTGCAGTCCAATACATCTAGAGGACACCAGGTTGGGGAAGGAGATTCAGGGTCAAATTCCCACTCAACCATGAAGCTTAGTGGTTGATCGGGGCCCAGTTGCTCTCTCCGGCCCTAATTCACTCCACTGGATTGTTATGAGGCTAAAATGTTGGGTGAGAAGCATAGATGCTTCCTTGAGTGCCATGGAGAAAAGAGAGAATTCAGATAAACAAACTTATAGTGAGAAGAGGATGTGTGTCTGTCTGACAGCCCCATAATTCCAAGACAATGAAACCTAGACTTCTGAAACTTGGCATGGATGCTAAAGAGACACTAAAGGTTATGTGCCTTGGGGGCTATTGTTTAGAAAAACAGATGAATTGGTTTAAATTACTTTCTATTTAGGTCTGAAGTTTGCAGTACCATTTTCAGTCACAAGGTGGCAAACATTCCTAACCAGCAAATAGCATGGCAGCCAAAACAATTATCTGGGAATGGCAAAAGATGTAGTCTAGTGTCCCATCTGGAGGATGCCGGAGTGCAGAAGGCTGTTTTAGGTTAGGGTGCACAGGCTAAGGTCTTGTGGCCCCGTGTGGGTGCGCCAGTCCTGCGTGCACGGCCCTTCAGCCAGCATCACAGGTGTCCCGCAGGGCCAAAAGGCGCGTGCATCCCTGTTTCAGAGGGTGTTGGAGTGGGGAAGTTTCCATGTTATCCCTTGGTTTAGAGCAGCGTTCGCTTTCCCAGATGAAGAGGTTCAGGCATGGATGTCTTCCTCTGTATTTGGAAGTCCTTACACCAAATCCCAGCTGAGAGGGCCCGGTGTCCTACTTCGCGGAAGGCAGACCACTGTTTGAAGGTGCTCTCCATCGAACGATAAAGAACCCTCAGAATCGTTGCCCATGACCAGTCAGCACCCAGACAGCAGGCGGCCACCTGGCCACAGTCATCCCCGTTATGGGAATATGCATGTGCTTTCCATTTGAAATGGTGGGCAGTCCTCTGGAATAGAGGCCAGTTGCAGTCCTCTTTTTTCCTTTCTGGGGAGGATGCGTGTCTTCGCCCTTTCTAGGCCAGTGTCCTTTCCGGGTGTCCAGTGGCCTCTTGCGGGCTTCCCATGGTGATGGCACAGGCCTCCTCACGGATGCTGCCACATGGTCACAGCAGCCCCGGGGCTGGCATCGAGGCCAGCTCTGCAGCTGAAAGCCCGGCTTAGCCCTGGCTCAAATTAAACCCCCTCCAAGCCCATGTTGCTCGTTTGCCTGCAGCACAGCCTCTGCACCCCTTGCTCGTCTTGAGCGGCAGCACCGAACAGTTCTCTGGAGCAGGGCTGCGAGGATCTCCCTCCCTGGCTGAAAGCATCCACACACGTCCTTGAGTGAGCACTGCAGCAGATCTTTAAAGCCTACAATCTGGACGCTTTCCAAAAAGCCCCCCTCCCTTTCCTCAGCATCCTCGCCGTCAGCCCTCCCTCCCCCCCTCCACTCCTCTCCTCTCTCTAAAACCTTCCCAGCCAAATCCATATCATTAATATTTCAGTGTGCATCAGCCACTTGCAGGCATTGGCTACGCTGCAGACGCAGCTCATCCATAAGAGCTGGTAAAGAGGGTACAGTCCACCAGACGCCGCTTTCCTTGAGCAGAGAGGAATTAAGAGCAAGAGGCTCCGGGGGAGAAAGCGGGAAGCCCGCTGGTGCTGCAGGGGGAACACACAGCATCCTCTGAGCATCCCACCAAGAGCCTCTCTCTGCAAGGTGCCCGAGGCGAGAGCGAGCCAGCATGGACGTCTTTAAGAAAGGGTTCTCCATTGCGAAGGAGGGTGTGGTGGCTGCTGCGGAAAAGACCAAGCAAGGAGTGACCGAGGCTGCAGAGAAGACCAAGGAAGGGGTGATGTATGTAGGTAGGTAAGCGCTCGCTTCCCCGGGGGGCTCGGCGGAGGCAGGAGAGCGGTCGGCAAATCCACCTTTGCAGGATGACCTTGGGAAAAGTTGCCTGGTCTTTCTACCCCGGAGGTGGACACGGTGGCTTAGGCAGCAGGGCCAGCCATGCAGGACAGATTATACAGGGATGGACAGAGCCATCGCCAGCCCTTCCTTAGGGAGAAATCCAGGCTTCTGATCCGCAGGCATCCCGTTTGCTTGCAAGTGTGGCCCGCTGGACTTCCAGGACCCCTTTCTCAGGAAGCACGCAGGCGGTTGGGGTGCAGGGAAGGCTCAGGACCTGAGCCGAGCCATTTGTGTCCCTGATTCAGATGCCTGCAGGAGTGGGGAAGCGAACTTTCCCCTGCTGCATCGCCCCACCGCAGGGACCAGGGGGCCACCCTGAGTGGGGTTGTGGCCCCAGGCCTGGCTGACCCTTTCAGGTCTGCATGCCGGGCACGCTCCCTCTAGCTCTCACAGAGTCGCACTGGCAAAGATCGGGGGGGGGGGGATCGAGTGTTTCTTGCGCTGGGGACGTTTTTCATGGTGCTTGTCAGCCCTGCCTTGTTCTTGCACTCACTGTTTTTGCTTCCTGGGGGGTTTAAGAGAGGCCACCCTCTCTTAGGACTGGTCTGACTTCTCAGTTGAGAACCATGGAAGGGGATTCCACCCTGTGGTTTGCACTTTCCATCAGCCCTTCCAGGAAAATGGGAAAGTTGCCCTGAAGCTGGATATCTGGTAGAGAAGCATTTGCAAACAGTCTGTTATAGCAGAAATGTGACTCTCTTTTTTTTTGGCAACTGCTGATGAATGCGGTCCTTTACCCACTTACCAATGACCACAGTGCACCTACTTCGGAGCAGACTAGGGCCTTGCTGTCCCCATCGCCTTCCAGATCTTTGGTTGCCAGCCAACTTGGCCACTAGTGCAGAATGCAAGCAGCCATAGTCCAAAATGTGCGGCGGGCACCAGGGTGAGCGGCTTATTCAGAAGGGGAGTTGCGTTATGCCCTGTAATGGCAAATGAGCTGTGGCTTTCCGTAGACGCATTCACACATGCCCAAGTGGGTGCCATTAGCACTCCATCATCCGCCCATCTTTGCTCACAGAATCAGTCTTTTGAAAGTGCTGGAACCTCGTAAAAGCCTCCTCAGAGCAAATTTGCCAAGCTCTTTGCCTCAGTTGGGAAGCCAGCCAGGAACAAAGTGGAGCAGTTTCCTTCTCAATTCCGACCAGCAAAAGCGAAATTAAGTTTATCTGGCTTGTAAGCAACCTTTCAAAGCTGCAGCATCTTCTCCGGGGACCTCATGGAACAGTTTTAAATCACATGAGAAGCTGAGCCACTTCTGTTCCCAGAGTCTGGGGTTCCTCTTTCGCTCCAGTGCAGGCGTCTCCAACCCGCAGGAGCCTGTGGGTTGCAAAAGAAGCAAACAGAAGATTCAGCCAGCCAAAGAAAATTCAGTCCAATAGGCTTAATTTTCTCCATGTAGCCATCCTTCTTCAGCGCTGTTCTTCTCCTCCAGCCGCCTCCTCTCTCCCATAGAGGGCAGGGCTGCACATTGCTGTGGCAAACACATTTGCCTGGGAATGGCAGCACAGGGAGAGAAGAGTCCCGTGGGCAGGATCTGTGGGCAGACAGAGCCCAGTCCTTCCCCATCCAGGAAGCCTGCTCTGCAGCCTCCTCCTGCCCCACTGCCGGTTTATTTCTCCCCCGTCTGGGAGGGGGAATGCAGTGCAGGTTGAGCATGCCACAGATGTCCCCTCTGCCTTGCCATGAGCCTGCAGGATGTGGCTTTGCACCCACCCTGTTTTGCCAGGCTCAGGGCTGCCTAGCAGACCAAGGAGAAGAAGCCCAGGACCTTGGAAGTTCTCGGAGCAGAGCGCAGGCAGCCAGCAAACGGTTCAGGCAGGGAGATCCCACAGCCTGCAAGATTCGGGCAAGAAGTGCAGCCACTGGCGGCCTGGAAGCCTTCGCACGAGGTTCAGCCCAGTAGAAAGCAAAGAAGGGCAGCAGCAGAGCAGGGAACAAGCACTGCTGTTTTAAGGCAGAGGCTGTCAGAGCCCCACCCAAGATCCTGCCGCAGTTTGTGAGGGGCTTCTGGAAGGGGTCTCCTCTTGAGCTGTCTCCTTGCTCTGCGGTGGCCAAGCACTTCTGAGCTCAAGGAGTCTGGCCCACCTCTTTGGGCTGTGTCACTCCCAGGGACTTGGGCGTCTTTCTTCTTCTGACTTTTAAGTGGATTGTCCTCCTCCTGAGAGTGGAGGTCCTGGGTGGACATTCCTGAAGGTCCAGGCTTCTCCTGGCCTTCTGATACAAGTAGGTCTTGTATCTGGGGAGCTTCCAGAGACCCTGAAACCCCAAAGTTGCCTGTTTTGTTATGCAGGGACCAGCTTAGAGAATCCATATTGACAGAAAATACTTTCTTGCATTCCATTCCATTCTGTCTTTGCATCAGGTACTTTGCCTTCTTGATCTTAAACCTCTGTAGCAAAACCTCTCTAGGAAAGTTTGCACGCTGCCTTTGGGTGATGTATTTTGGACTGGGAAGGTTTCCTTTTAAATTGAGCTGTGGGGAGCAAATCAAACATTTCAGGACCAAAAAGGGGCTAACCCAAGGAGAATGTACCAAGGGCTTCGAGAGAGATTGAAAACACACCAGGAAGTTTGAATCGGGTCAGTAGTTCCGATCTGCCAGAGCAGAGCAGGCATCCTCCACTCTTCCCCTCCCCTCTTCCTCTCATACACAGTCATCTGCCGTGAGTCTGCATTTTTCCAGCTCAGCCATGATGAATGCCTCCCTCTGGGCAAGACAGCCTCTGAGCAGCCGCAGTGGGGCCTTCTCCCCCACCATGTGTCTGAAACGAGCCCCAGTTCTGTTTCCGCAACTGCTTTTGCCTCATCCAAATGCCAGCGGTTGTCCTGCTCTTTCCCTGCATCGCCTCTCTCTCCAGCTCGGGAGCTCGGAAGGGAGTTAACACACCCATGTGCCCCTTGGTCACACCCCTACAGTGACAAAGCACCATGGCATCTTCAGTGGTTGTGTAACAGAGGGCAGGTGCAGCGGGCACGATTCTCCCCTGCGAGGAAGCCGCTCGCACCCAAGCGCTCTCTTCTGTGCCGTGCTCAGAGGCAAAGGCAGTGTTGGTCCCTCGGGACTCTCCTCTTCTTCTGCTCACAACAATGCCCTGCATTTGGACCCGGGGCACCTTTCAGGGAAGGAAAGGAAGGGATGGCCTTCCACTGGCTGTCAGACCACTGGGGCACATTTAACTGGTTTCCAGTTTAAGGGAGGGACCCCACGGTACGCAGGGAGCAGTGATGCGCACTATAAATAGAACTTGCTGAAAGGGCGGCTTCCAGGGAAGGGGTGCTGATGCCGCTAGTTTCTGCTTGCACCGTATCAGTAGAGAGCAGGCGCTGCTGGGGCCTTCCCTGAATCTCGCCCTCAAGGAGGGCAGCCCTGCCTTTCATGCCACACTCTTGCTGCCCACCCCGTGCCAGCAGGTTCGGGAGCGTTCAGGCACAGCATGGGTCTGGACCTGGCTTTCTGATGTCGTGGGAGACCTGAAGGGCTGGGTCTGGTGTCCAGGTTGTGGGTGATGCACCTTCCTGCTTGCTCATTGGTTCCACCGCTGTGAGCAATACAGTGTACCAGCTGCACAGCCATGGCTAGCCAAGCTTAGTTTGGGTGGATCGCGACATACTTGCAAGGTCACCGAGCAAATGTCTTCTATCAGTTTCTCTCTGATTCTGTCTCAAATAGCCAAGTACTGGCTGTGAAGTAGCCCTGTGAGTTCTCTGCACATGCTTGCGTGCACACACGCTCGTGTACACAGACTTGCACACAGACTTGCACAGAGAGCGGTCTGACAAGAGAAATGCAGATGGCCAAAGGTATCCAGTTGGGTATGTTTTTTCCCCCCCGATTTATATCCTGCCTTTTTCCTACCAAGGGCTCAAGGCAGCTTACATCATTCTCCTCCTCCATCTTATCCCCACAACAACCACCCTGTGAGGTAGGTTGGGCTGAGAGTCTGTGACTGGCCCAACGTCACCCAGTTGGCTCCATGGCTGAGCGGGGACTAGAACCTGGATCACCTGAGTCCCAGTCCCAGGCTCTTAACCACTACGCCACACTGGCTCTCCACAGTTTTGCAGCTGGGCCTGATGGAACTTCTTAATGCCACCACAGGGAAGAGTCTTTCCTGCTTTGAGATGCCAACAAACTGGTCCCTCAACCTAGCACTGAATTATGCAGTTCATTAGGAGCTTTTCTTTGCATTGAAAGGATTTCTTGACTGTTCCTGTTGATTAGGCAGAAGGTTCAACGGTGCTGAGTCACTACGGAGATCAGAGCAGCGGCTAGTTTTGAAGGGCTACCTGCAGCAGCTTTGCCTGTCTCCTTTCGGTCTTGTGTCTTTTTTACTAGAACGCAAAGTGCCGCCAAGCAGAGCCCCATGCAAAAATCACAGAATTTAAAAAGAGGCACCTCTGAGCACATTTTGAGCCTATGAATTCATTTCCAGAGCTGAGCTAAACCCACAAGGCGCTTTCACACAAAATCTTGTTCCAGCTTGCCCTAAGCTTCCTTCATTTCGGTCGCCTAAATCATTTTGCCCTCGCTAAACAATTTGGAGTCACAAACCATCCAGAGATGTACTGGTAGATCCCAAATGAGCTTCTGTTGGCCCCAATCCAGCACTCTGCCATGCTAATGAGATAAGTTTCCACTTTGCACAGTTAAACACACACACATTTGGTTGCGCTGGAGTCTGGCTTCTGAGGTGGTCTTGGCTTCTTTTGCTGAGTCTTGTCCCCCAGTCGACTCAGCAAGTCGACTCCCCGGTGGCGGGGAGAATCCATCCATGCAAGCAACTTCTCTGCTCAGCAGCTGTGTTTTGCCGCTGCTGTCATGCACCGTGACTTCACAACTGGTGACATGTTGGGCCGAGCGTTTTCCTAGCCGGGGAACAGACAGCAGAGT